AAATAATCGAATCTGGACCAGACAATCCAGTGATTGGCATCATGAGCATCAGTTCACGCAATTGGGATACGATGACATGTATCAACCAAGTCAGCGAGCCTGACCACCCGATTCCGTTAGTCGCCTCTTGCGACAAGCAGAGTCGCATTTTTCGGCAAACATTGGCTGCTGAAGACCTATTCTAACTCGAATGTTCACGGGTCCTCTCGGTATTGGAAAAATGTGTCTGGTTAAATATTCTCCTCTTTCTCCATCTCCAAATGAATACAGTAAACTACGGTTATAACGAACTCAAAGGGACTATTAATTTTAGTTCGTTATAACCGTAGTTCGTTATAAGCATATATACAGCATAACTACAGCAAATAGTAAGGACCAAAAAAGTAAGTTCGTTATATCCGTCAGTTCGTTATAAGCCTGTTCGCTATGACCGTTGTTTACTGTACAATTATTGCCGTATAACAAATACGGATATTTTGAAAAGTATTTGTTTTATTGCCACACTCAACATTATATACTGTATATGACGGCAGCCTGAAAGTAGCTGAACCTGGATCAGACAATCAAGTCCATCCTGTCTATGAGCAACGATGACACGCTTGGTCCAGCTTCACCATCCTATTGTATTAGGCCGGCTCTTACCACAAGCATGGGTTAAAGTGCACCAATAGCTTGGAGTCATCCGAATATATACTCGACAAACTGTTTATCGTATTTTCTGCCTCCGGTCCATATACAAAGTTACATGTAGCATCTTTCTATTTGATCACAGATGGTTCAGTGTATATTTAGAGGTTATCAATCTTTCAAATAAACAAAGCAAATTTGTACAATGAGTACCACGTGACTAGAGTGAATGACGTCACCGAACATGTTCTGGGCACAAACTGGTGTGTATACACAATGTCCGTGCATTCATTACACAACTTGAAATATTGATATTGCTATATGGAGCTGAAATTTGGGGCTTACATAAATACAAAGAAATTGAACGGATCAATTTATTAGCATGCAAACAATTTTTAGGCGTTAAGTCTTCGACACCTGATCATGTCGTAAGATGCGAGTGCGGTCTATACCCTTTGTACATTTCAGCATATAAGCGTTATATTACTTACTGGTGTAAGATTATATCTATGACTAAAAGTCGTGACCCAAGAAAGAGCTATAATCTCTTGTTTAAAGAAGCTGTAAATGGCAAGATTAATTATATAAATTTGATTTCGTCTATGTTTGGGAAAACCAATCAATTTTTTACCCAAAACTATTTATATTTGAATTTGTATCACGATTAAAATATATACATGAACAAGAAAGGCATTCAGATATTGCTAGTTGTCCGAAAATGTACACCTATTCTTTATTTAAATTAAATTTTTGTGTTGAACCGTATCTTCTAAATATCAATATTGGTAAATGTCGTATGCGCCTTCCCGCTATCGTTGTAGTTTTCACACACTCCATATTGAAGTGGGTAGATATCACAATGTCCCAAGAGACCAAAGACTTTGTAACC